GTAGAGCAGAGTACATGTTAAGTTTCAACAGAATTATATGGAACATGAAATTCAATCTGGATTCTTACATGAAGGTGTATGGAGTTAGTTCTGGATTGTACGGGCCATAATGATGCCAATATCTTGTTGGGGTCTATTTGAGGTACTGACTACCATGATTTTACAAGGGTTTTAGTTAGGACCATAAGATCGGTAACTACTTCGGGAAAGCAACTGCAGAAAACTAAAGCCTTAAATGCCAAATTCCTGTCAGAGACGTAAGACACGGCTGTCAGACTGGCTTTAGGGTTTACCTGGACCCCAGAAGTAGGTAAAGTGATAACCCCTAAAACCCTAAACCTTAAAAATTGCCAAAACACAACATTATTCTACATACTCTGGGGGTTCGGTAGGGTTTGGGGTTTGGGGACGTTGCCTTCATGGAGTGGGGATTGCTGGACCCAGAAGCCCCAAGTTTGAAGGCTGATCCCAAAAACAGCAACGCAAGTGCCTCGGAGAGGAATTTCTCATCTTTCTTGCTACCTGGCAGCACTTCTCACTGGAAGATTACGTAATTGATGGGCTTCTTACGAAAAAGATACCGTAAGGGGACCTCGGAAAGTATGGAGACTCTGGGGCAGTTGCAGGGTCCTCCTTAAAGAATATGTGTAGAGTGTAGAGGTCAATCAAAAAACCACCATTTCGGATTCCGATTCCGCCCCATCCTTGACATTAGCCGTCTATGAAAAATATCAGGACTCCTTCTTAGGTCACGCACTTGTGACTATACTTAGAATCTTGAGAAACCCCAAAGGCCCCCGAAACACCCGTCATAAACAAATGTTGTCCCTAAAGGGGCCCACATAGGGAAGCCCCGCAGGACTTGGTAGTTTCCATAAATAAGGGACCCCAATATATACACCCAAAAATACTATACTCCTTGTTCTTGGGACCCCAAAACGGTACCCCTAATTTTCGGAAACCCTAATCCCTATAAACCCCTATATAACCCCAGGTTCCATTTCATTGTCCATGTTCTTTTCCATTTGATTCTCCATTATAGGGGTACAAATGGTACCCCTAAGTTTGGGAAACCGTAAACCCCAAATAGTACTTTCCTTTTTCTTTTCCATTATCCCTACATAGCGCCTATAAACCCCTTTAATTCGACACCTTAATCTGGAAAAACAACTTCTTGGAAGGAAGCTACAAAAGGAAACCCAGGGTCTTTTTTCCAGGGTCTGTCCTACCTGGGGTCCCGTGGGGATCTGCGGCTTAGGGTGCAGGGTTTAGGGTTCAGCGTTCAGGGTTTAGGGTGCAGGGTTTAGGGTTCAGGGTGGAGGGTTTAGGGTGTAGGGTTCAGGGAAGACGGTTTAGGGTTTACGGTGTAGAGTTTAAGGTTCAGGGTTTAGGGTGCAGGGTTGAGGGTATGATGCTGGGGACCTTCAGTGGCACGACTGCGTGGAGTCTGACATGTCGCTTGACATGTTGCCATTCGTTGCAAAAGATGGGCATTGACTAACATCTGGCTACCTCTGTGTGCAGGACCCCAAACCCCAAAACCTAAAGGAGCCCATGGAGCCCAATACGGCAACAATGGCATCAAAATATGCTTGGGGACCTTGGATTCGCAATGTTGCCCAGTGCCTCCTGACCTGCAGGCAAATGCTTGTGATTGCAAGTTCTCCGCACGTGGTATCTCGTCTCTTTTGAGATCCACTCTCTCGGCACCAGATATGGTAGTTTCCCAAAATAGGGGTACCCCAATATAGACCCCAAAAAACTATAGTCCTTATTGTAGGGACCCCCAAAATGGTACCCCAAATTTTGGGAAACCCCCATATTCTTGAAGACGGGACGTCTTACATTGCCTGGATTCACAGCCCACACAGTGCATCCCGTCCTTCCAACCCTTAACCCTTAGTGCAGACAGTTTCGATTTATAGGGACCCTTATAAGTTATAAGGTAAATAGTGGCCATGTTAAGCTTGATAAGGAAGTGATAAAGAGGTAACCTACATCGTTATCCCTTATCCCTAGGCCTTAATATGTTCATCCGGTCTCCAGCCTATCTGGGCCATCTCTTCGATGTGCTTCTGATAGTTCTTCCCCACTGCCACGATCTTCCTCTGGCTGCACACCAAGGACTACGTAGATGGTGGAGGTGACTATGTCGTGACGAAAGGGCGTGCTTTATGGGGTCATGTGGATCTGCACAGGTTCTCCCCAGTATGAAATGTATGTAGGTTCACACCGAGTCCTGGAGGGCAGCAGGAGACTTAAGTGGACTGTCAGAATAGTCATGAAGCATGTTTCAGTTGCTACATGACGCAGCTCACGATAGCGAAGCATAGGAGTCCTTCCACATTCCATAACAAGCACCGGGTAAGAGATCCAGAAGCTCTGAATCAAAAGGCAGCAACTGTGGGCTCTTCCCAAACAGAAATCTGACGAAAGCAGACGAATTTCCATTACGGCACAACCCTCTGACGAGCTGCTACTAGATCCAAGTTGTGAAGCATAGGGAAGGGATTAAGAGGGTCTACATGGAAGTTTCCTAAAATAGGGGGACCCCAATATAGACCCCAAAATACTCTAGTCCTTGTTATGGGGACCCCGAAAAAGGGACCCTAATTTTGGGAAACCCCCACATAACAAAGATCAGTCAGAGCACGGCCAGAGCTAGTTGCATGCCTGTGCTCAATGTCCCCTACTATTTCCCATGTCTTCCTCTCTTACCTGTAGTTGCCTCAGACCTATAATAACAGACATTTTAATATTTCCTGAGGATTATACTACAATGAAAATTGAAAATAATTCCTAAAGACAGTACAGTTACATGGTCCACACCGCTACATAGTCTTCGTAGCCTCTGCTGAATCCATTGCAGGTTTCTTTCAGGATACCTTCAAGTACACCTCAAAATTTCTCGGGGGTTCTCCCGGCATGGGACGTCTGGGACCCAAAGCTGTCTCAGGGATCATAACAAACACGAAGATCCTTTAAGAATGGTACGGTAGTTTCGAAAAATGCGTGACCCCATTATAGAGCCGGCCCCCAACATAAAGTAATCCATGCTCTGGGGACTCCGAAAAAGGGATCCCCAATCTTTGGAAACCCGTGCGCAGGGTTGTTTTACAATCTCCTTATAAAACCACCATATGATCGCAGCTTCCACGTAATTTTCCATGTTCTTCTCCATTTGATTTTCCATTATGGGGCGGGGGGTGCAATATACTGCTATATAACCCTATATATATAATCCCTTCTAGTTTCCATTTCATTTTCCATTATCCCTACATAACCCTAATAGAACCCCTATAGATACCCCTAAGAGATTGCTCGCTCCTGCCGGTGGACCAGAAGTTGGTAGCCATGACGACAACCGCCCGGCGGGCGGGGGCAGCAGCGGGGCAAGGTCACTACAATGGGTCTGTATCCAAATCAGGATTTAGGGCTTAGTGCTTAGGATTTAGGATTTAGGGTTTAGTGTTTAGGGTCTAGGATTTAGGGGTGTTGTCCCGCAATAATGGAGAATCAGATAGAAAAGAACATGGAAAATGAACTGGAAACTGGGATCATATAGGAGATTATGGCACACTCAAAGAACCTGAAGCCTTGAACGCCAAATCTTCCAGGCTCATGGAGGGGCCTTAACCCTAGGGGTCTAAGGAGCCAACTTTTTAGGTTTTACCATAACATTAATAGTAGTTGGGCCCTGAAACCCCATTATTTGGGTCATTGGACGCTCAGGGTAACTTTGTTGGAAAGAAGCCTGCAAAGAACATTTCGGAGGGCGCAGACCAGTTTTGGTACTGCTGTTTCAGTTGGCTGACGGAAGCTTCATCCAACCTGTACACATCTATCAAGCACAAAGCATTGTTCACATGATGGTGGGTCTTGATGATACTTCTGGCCAGGGCTCCTCAAAAATCAAAGGAGCATCTCCCCTCAACACGCTAAGATACTGTCAATAGGAGGTGAGCTGCCTATTCTCGGCTAAGTGTGCTAGTGGCTTGAATCGGCAATGGCTTCGGATGGGAGGCACGCTTCTCAAATTATGCGAGTTTGGAAGCCCATGGTAGGGTTTATACTCCCCCCTGAGTAGATGGAATATGGCTTTGGGTAAATCATAGTAAGACCCCTATATACCTCATATTCTATCTATTTAAGGGAGACTTTAGGGTTTTGGGTCCGACAAGGCTACGCAAAACACAAGGAACCTCTGGCAAGACTCCTGGAGAGCGCTCAAGAAAGATCCCATGCATTCTCTATGGTTCCTCAGAGCATATATGAGCTATAGTCTAAACTCCTAGTGATCCCCCTTAATGACCCCTTTCAGGGAGTTTAGACTAAAGCTCCTATGGAGATGCCCAGGTGCCCCCCTATGCATCGGCCACTGCATTGAGATGTGCGAATTGACGTTGTCTGCTGGATACGGGGTGACCATGTACTGGACATTTATCTCAGGCCCACTTCCTCCGTGGAATGGAAACCCTTACCTGCAAAAACATAACCAGTTGGGGGGGTGGAGCATTTGGGAGCTGAGCATGGACCCCCTCAAGAGTTCCGCCGTTGAAGCTTAGGGTTTCCGGCTCAGCTAGGGTATTCTAGTTTCGCGCGGCATGTTGTGCGGTGACGGAAGAAGGGGTTCCAACAATTTAATTGATCGTCCCAACAGAGGACCCTCTTAGGCGCTGTGCACTGGAGGTGTACAAGTGCAGCAGCCCTCCCACTTCATGATGTTATGATGTTCTTTTTGGACACTGATTCACACGGTTGCTTGGATGATGTTTCTTAATTTTGTACTTGGAAAATAGTTCAGGCCGTTGGCTTTGGATGCTGCTTCGGCTTCTCATCTAGCACACATTACAACGCTAGCTAGTAGTAGTCAGTACTCAACCTATGTCTATTGGGTCAAGATGCCTGACATTCTGCGCTGTAGGAACCGCATTAATAAACACGTCTTCGCGGGCTTGGCACCTGGGGGACAAATTTGGATGCCTCGATGCCTAGAATTGACAGTATTTAGGGTTCAGGTGGGTTTAGGGTTTGGAGCTGGCACAGAGACAAGCACACTGCGCCTGGAAGTTCTTCTTCGTCTGCTCACGAAGCTGATGCCTTTCCATGGCGTTGCTGAAGTCCGTTCAGGGCCCATCTGGGGTTTCCAGCAGCAGGACTCCAATATATAGACCACGTCGTACAATAGTATTATGGGACTCCTTAAACAGGGGCCCAGAGCTTTAAAACCTCCATGTGAGGCGGCGTCAAAAATGCTTGTTTGTTCTCTCTCGGTTTTTGAATTAGGGCGTCCCCTATCGATTTCCACGTCTTGGGATCTTCTCTTAGCCTTAGCTTAAATGAAATTAGCCTGTAGTTTTAGGACTTCCTTTATCGATCTTGCGGATTTTTGCGCAACACCTACCACCTAGACTGAATAAAGTAAACCGTCATTTTTGACCGCGCCTCATGTAGAGAACGAGCGAAGAAAGTTCGACTGGGGGGACTTACTGGTGGTTAGTAGGGAATAAGGGAATATAATCCCTATATGACCCCTATACTATGAATTTCCTTATTCCCTACTAACCCCCAACCCTAAACCCTAAACCCTAAACCCTTAACCCCCAGCAAGGGGAACTGTAGAGTAAGCAAAAGCCAAGGTGAGGCTCCTGCAGGGAACAATAGAAGTGACAGCAGCGGGAGCATCCCTATAGTTTAGGGTTCAGGGTTTTAGGGTTTTAGGATTGTAGGGCTGTAGGGTTTTAGGGTTGTAGGGTTTAGGGTTTTAGGGTTTTAGGGTTTAGGGTTTAGAGGCATAAAAACTCGAAGTGTCCATATAGCCACTAAGGAGATTGAGCTGTAGAGGAATTTGGAGCTCTCTGTAGCAGAAAATCGTTTTGGTACCAGCCTGAGAGTAGAACATTTTCCGTGCTGAGAACGATAAGAAGCAGGAAGCTCCAAAGTGGACGTGCAGAGTCTGAACTACAAGATATGTGAACTGAATGTCCTGAGACTTGACCCTAAACACTAAACGTTAATAAATTCTTCCCACACTGAACGTCAGGCTGTTCATGCATGTCGACTTGTGTGGACTAAGCCGCAGGCAGCATCCACTCGCGGTCGCTGTCGTCAATCAGTCGATCCCCAAACACGCGCAAGATCTCCTGGGCTGGACTATAGATGTATCATTTTAATGATAACGATAGTAGTGACTATACTTGTCAAATGGTAGTAACACCGGTAGTTGCTAAAGGTAATAACAGAGATGAACATCCTCTTTCTGGTCGTTCGTAGAGTGAGGAAAGACATCTGGGGCTGCTAAACACCCCAAACGTATATCCCTTAGTCATCATTGTCGTTGTTGCTATTATTTCCTCTTTAGCGCTTTACAGTGTGTCCGACCTACCGCATCATGCTAGCATACGTAAGCACTGGAAACCTCATTGCGCTATAGGTATCCGCCGCGTTTGTGATTCAACATGAGAGGTCAAGGATTATGGATCAACATTGTGAGGAGAAGCTAATTGAGGCTTTGTCAACAGAGCAAACCTTGCTGCCCCCGGTGAGCTTCCTGTTCAACACAGGTTCTTCAGCGCCTGGTGTGAGTGGCGGTGAGAACTGCGCCTACTTCCGCGAAGCCAGCTTTATCGCTCAACCCTAAACCCTATAAACCCTAAACCCTAAACAGCGTTTGTTACAAATTCTGGTCCTAGATCAAGAGATGTCGCGGCCGAGGCTTCCTTGAGCATTCTCGTTGTGCTTCCCTCTTTTATCATATATTTTTGGGGCTTTGCAACCCCATACGATTTAGGTTGTATAGGGTTAGGAAGGAGAGAGGAGCTGGTTGTACGGACCATGGTAATGCACTCTATATGCTACTGCATGGATGCATTCAAGTCGTCTTAAGATCAGCCCTTGTTTGTGTAGTCAGCTCTAAGAAGCATCCCCTCCATCATCTCCGGGAAGCCCTGAAACCTGGACTGCCCTGTGGCCCAAACCCCGAATCATCAACACAATGTCTTCTGCCGCAGCCAAGCTGCATGCACCCAGAGCCGGACGTGTCGATCGGCACCTGCTCCAAAGCTTACTTTGCAAGCTCACAGGAATCGTAATCTGGTGCATTAAGAAACACTAAAGTCGTGCTATCTATATAGCAGTATTCAGAAAGAAACCATAGATATCCGGCAATAACTCTGTGTTTTTGTACCCAGGACGAAGTGAACCTTAGTATTAGGTAAATTTCATGCTTATGGGCATGAAGGCGACCTAACACTCAAATTTAAACGTAAGTTTGCCTCATGCATCATGTTAAGGCTTCTCAAAATAGGGGCCCCTCAGCGCCCAATGATGGAGACTAAGTCTACGAGGATCGTTTTGAGGAACTTCCACGTTGCTCTCAAATAGATGATGATTCTTCACCTGAAGTTAGAAGCTCCGAGATGGCTTTGCCTTGGAACTTGTAGAGAAAGCATGCGCCCAAACTCTTAGGCAACCGGGGTCGGGGTAGAGGTCCTTCCGAAAGATCCTTGACATTCCTATTTGGAGGTGGGGGGACTACTTATAACCCCACCTATACCTGTAATTATCACGCAATCATAACATATCATGACCATACTTCGGGGACGTAGGGGGGCTCCTCATTGATTAAAAATCTACAAATACGGGCATAGGTAAACCTGGCCTCCGAGCAGCACCCTCAACTAGGGGAGTGTGTACTCTCGAGGATCCAACAACAGCCGTCCACGGGATCCCACATCACCCCCCGTTATTGCGTAAAGGATATAACTAATGTGACTTAGGACTAATTAGGAGAGAACATGGGGGGAGGACTAATTAGGAGAGAGAACAGGGGGGGGGGGGGGGGGGAGTTTAAAGGAGTAGTATAGGGGGCCCGGTAGGGG